TATACACTGTCATGGATGCCACAGGGCAGAGGCTAAGGTAGGCCAGGTGCCACCAGAGCAAAGGCACTTGGCAAGCCCAGGCCTTGGCACAGCCTCATATCCACAAAGTGCCCAGCGGTTGAGTCTTGATGAGGACAGACTTACTGGCTTGGTTTGGGGCCTTTTACATATTCCTTTTCTACTTCTTAAAATTATCCATACTTTGAAGGCATGATTAAAACCCTCTAGAGAAGGCTCTTAAAAACCCAGGATCTGAAAGATGAACCCAAACTCTTGATGAACATCTGTTGGTGCTCTAAGGGCTCTAGCCCAATGTAGAAAAGGTTTTAGGCCTCTCAGTTTTAAAGCCTTTGTAGATAATCCCTACTCCAGCAAAACTTCTTTTTTTTCCAGCAAAATTTGAAACCATTCTTAAGCTACATTATGACTGTGCCAACCAAAATCTCACTAAAAAAAAAAAAAATTACATTACATTAATACCATCAAAAACTATATCCCCCCCAAAAAAAATATTATCAAGTGACCTCTAGATTCCAGCCACAATATTACACATTAGAAAGGCAACAAAAGGACTATGTACATTAGTGGTAAAGTACTTGCCCAACAACTGTTAAGTGCTGTGTTCAATCCCCAGGACAAAAAAAGGGATCGACATGTCCTCACATTGTACTAAGTATGGTACAGAGACACCACACTCACATGATCAAAGAAATAAAGGCAGCACATTGGGATCAAGTATAGATGCCTCAAGTACTTCACAGTTTCTGCCCTTGAAGCCTATAGTTAACATGGCAAGATGGACCACATCTTTACAAACTTCCTTTCACACCTATAATAGTCAAAATTTCAAATATTTCTAAGAATCAACACCAAAGCCATCCTTTATTATAACATCTGCAAGTATACATTTATCCTAAGACACAGATGCTCCTGTTTGTTGGGTAGGTTAATTACCACCACCCAATGCTGCATGCTTGTCCTAGAAAAAAATTGCCACATACATCAGTTCTCTTGAGAAGGCCTCTGATACAGGAGGGAAGCAGCTTGTTTCTTCTGTAGCAAAGGATCCAGTCAGAGATTCTCAAACACAATCAGTGGCAGCTTCCAGCCCTCTGCCTGCAAAGAAACTGTTAGAACCATTATCTGCTCCCAGAAGCAGTCATTCAAATCATAAATGTACTTATATCTTCAGAAAACCATAGGTTCTCCACTACCAATCTGCCAGTAATTTCGGCTAGTTTTGGTGATTTCATCATTTGTATAAAGGGTTAATGCGAAACTAATGTAATGAGTTAATGTAAAACTAAATGTAAAAAATTACTTTGCTCAACTTTCTGTGGCTTCTTCCTTGTAAGACCACAAGGAGGCTCAATGTACCATTGATAAATCATCAATAGACTGAGAGCAGAATAGGCTTACAAAATAAATCAAAGTAAAGGTCAAAATGTTTCTAACTATACAAAAGCAACTAAAAAGTGTTGCTATGGTAATCAAGACCATTGTACACAGATGTACCTTAAACAAGAATTAGACAATGCCAGGTTTGCATTCTTTTATGTTTAAAATGCCACCAAAGGGAAAACTAAAGGGGACAACAAAGCCAGGAGGATGAACCGAAGCTCCCAGGAAAAAAATGTATGCTGAGTAATGGTCACACTGTCCATCAAGGTACTGTTCTATGTTAAATGACAAATTTGTTTGCCAAACAGGATACAGTTTTTACCTTTAATACCTCTGTACTTCTAAGGCTGTCTCGCCGTTTGTCCTCTCCTGCGTGAGTATGGTCAAGTTGTCCTGGGCCCGGTAATCAAGGCTCATAAAATTTAATAATCAGATTTTGATCTGGTTTCTGTGTTGAGAACCCATAACAATTTGATATCCTCTAAACCAATTTTGACAAGCAGCTGAAGCTTAGTTCTCCAAGACAAATCACTGTGCAGGTCAAGGCTTACCTCTTCCTGGGCTGGGCAGCTGCCAGCTCTAGCACTGCACTCCAGCACTGTCTCCAAACCTGGGGACACAGGGTAAGACTCCAGAGCAGGAAATGCAAGAGAGCGTCCACATCTACAAGTGTAGTAAGACCATTCTATTAGTACTGTCCCTTAGAGCCTTACAGAAGGGGCACTTTCGTCAATTACTAAATCTACAAACCCCAAATAACTTCCCTAGTGTTAAAATCTCTGCTTAATAGCGCATCTTCAAAGGCACAAGCCTGTTTTAATATGTCAAGACAATATAAATTATTTTTAAAATTACAAAAAAAAAAATTACACTGGGGCCAGGTAGATGGCTCAGTGGAATGGGGGCTTCCCTGGCAAGAGCAGGGACCTGAGTTCAATCCCCGGTTCTGCCCAAAATAAACAAATAAATAAATTACACTGATATGAAATGTCACCAAATAGGAATTCCACAATGGTTGCTGCATTGTATGCTGTCTTTCCACTAGTTATTCAGATTAACAGATTATAAAGTCAAGGCCTACATTCACAAATACTATGGTAATCAAATGAAATTGCCAGTATCTGACCAAACAGCTGGGTATTCTCAACCACCAGCAATCTCTATAGATACCAAAGCTTACCTGACCCAAGGCCAACACACTCCAACAGGCTTCGAGCAGAAGTTGGTGGGTGGCACCTCTGTACACAGGCCTCACAGGTGACTCAAGGCATCTGTAACACTAAGCTGCTGGCATCTTCTGCCACTCTGCAACCAGCATGAATGTAGAAAGGTTGTCACAGTTCAGACCAACTTAATGCTTAGCAACAACAGCATCTGGTGCACTGGGTGACTGCAGTCAGCCAGGAGCACTTTCCTCAGTTACTGCTTCTGACGGCACTTCCTGTGATTAGTGGGATCATCAGAGCAGTGAAAACACCTCATCACTGTCCAAAATCCTTTAACTGGAGACACGGACATTACCTGAGAACAAACTACAAGTGGAAGATGGAGCTCAGCATCAAGCTCCTGGGGTCTCGAGCCTCAGTACTACCTGTATGCCCTCAAAATGAAACCCAAAACCCACTGGACAGCTCATTTCTGCAAATGATTTAGTTCATACATGTATAATGTGTGTACAAGAACACATGTGGGGCTGGAGAGGTAGCTCAGTAGAGTAAGTGCTTGCCTGGCAAGCACAAGGGCCTGAGTTCACTCCAGGGTTGCAGGGAGGTGGAATACATTCATGTGCTCTGGCTGTACTGGGGACTGAACCCAGGGCCTCCTGCACCCCAGGCCTGCTCTTATATCACTTAACTACATCTGATCAAAAAAAAAAAAAAAAAAAAGCACAGCTAATGCGGTTCCATACTGACTGTAGCTTAAACAGCCATCCCCAGTTTCTACATCACTGCAAAGACAGCGGTGCGGACAAAAGCATGGCGGCTTAGGCAGAGCACAGCTGCCGGGTTCCATCACTGGCTTGCTGTGCCGCCTGCCCCACATGGCGTGGGAGGTGATTGAGACTGGGGGTGGTGGTGAGCGCCTGTGATCCCAGCTCTCAGCCCAGGGAGGCTGAAAGCAGGAGAATCAGAGTCTGATCTATGTAGTGAGACCCTGTACCAAAAGTACAAAAAACTTATGTAGCGTTTAAACTACAACTAAAATATCCACTTCATTACATCTCAGATAACTAAATTACAGCTAAGTCACGCTGTTAGGCTGCTGGAAATCGAACCCCAGGCCTCCACTGTGCAAAGAACACCTCTAACTCTGACCTACATCTGCATCCCCCAAAGTCACATATTAAACGCACCCGACTTCACGGTGGGATACTGTTCTCATCTCCAATATTCTGCACTGAGTCAATGTCTGAAAGATGAAGAAAGAACTCAAGAGTTGAATCTGGCAATAGCGTTCAACTACTCTGTTGAGGTTTTAGTACTGTAATCCGATCAAGTATAAATATCATCAGTTATCACTTTTTTTTTTTTTTTTTTTTTTTTTTGTGGAACCAGGGATTGAACTCAGGCCCTTGCACTTGCCAAGGAAGCGCTTATTCCACTGAGCCATCTCCCCAGCCCCCAGTTATCGCTTCTAATGGCACTTCCTATTACTCGTTATCATAACAGTCACGTGACTTCCTCGTGGTCCCATTACAATACGTCTACAGTAGCGCCTTTGCGTTATTCCCAGCTACAGGCAGGCGGTCCCCAACCTACCCAGTTTTTCAGGTTGGCGGACTCCTTGTGGAGGCTCTGGAAATAGGATGCCGCTTTCCACAAAGCCCAGACTCCCGCGGCTATGGCCCTGACGAAAATCGCGCGGTCCCTGAGGCTCAACTTGCAGCACTCTGCACTGTGTAGATTATAGTCTGTAAGGGTCGAGTCGCCGCGAAGGAAGACCCCAAGAGTCGGTCTCTCATGCAAAGAACAAAGGGAATTTTATTAACTGTGTGCACACAGGGCGGTCTGAACACGCAGGAACAGAGAGCGCCCGGAACTGACCGTGGGTGGTGGTTTTAAGCTAGAAGACAAAGGGAGGAGGGGTTTTGCAAGTGGGGTTACAGAAGCAGA